TAAATAAACAAATAAGTAGTCTAATCTGTCTGTAACAGCTTTGATGATCTGTATCAAGAGTTACAGTTGTTCCTTCCCGTATCTACATCACCTCTATATTTTATATCTGTATAGTCTGAGCTGTAGGATTAGTAAAATGAGCTATAGAAATTGTCATTTGGTGAGAATGTGATAGCTGTATCTGCCACTGGGGAACATATATTGAATAGCTCCTTGTCTCATTTGAGAGATGAAATATTGTAGTCCTTTTCCTGACTGAGAATAATACAATTTTAGTGCTGAGACTGAGGATGGCCTGAAAGACTTTTGTTACTTAAGTTCCAAATAAGGTTTGAAACTACTGTGTTAGGAAGAACGGATTTTTGTTTTCTGACTCAGATTAGACGGTGTCACCATGGACTATTATAACATTGTAAAATTGCTGTGTTTCGTTGCAGCTGTGAGGAAAAAGTCAAAAAGCCAACTGCAACCAAAAATTATTTAAAAGTTCCTTTCTGTTACTTGGCATGTGGAAGCAATGGTGTCTGCTTAACTGATGAGGGCACTTTTCATGAGTTTTTTAAAATTACCCAAAATTGGAAAATCCAAACCTTTATTGTGCTGCTATTGTCACGGAATGTATTCATCGAATGTATTTTCATAACATACACCATTCTGAGGCTGTCTGTGGCTTGAATGTGAGACAGCTAGTTTTGAAAACAGTTGGGAATCTGAGGCTTGTAATTGGCTGAATCTTCAGGTTATGTTTAAAAATTTTTTGATTTCTATATGAAACTCTAAATTGGTGTATTTTTTTAATAGAATGAGTTCGCTGTGGGCATCATTGAATTCTTGTCTTCTGTGCTATAAAGCACCTTTGATTTACCTAAGAGTCTATGGCATTCCTCATTTTAAGTAGAGAAGGCTCTGTTAAAACCGTAGCTAGGTTTCAATATGTAGATAAATGTTGAGACTGTACAAATGCCTCTTGTGCGCTCTCTCACAGATTCAAAGAATGCTTTGGGTTGGAAGGGAACTTTAGAGGTCACCTAGCCCATCCCCCTGCAGTGGGCAGGGACATCTTCAACTAGACCAGGTTGCTCAGAGCTCCATCCGACCTGGCCTTGAATGTTTCCAGGGATGGAGCCTCCACTACTTCTCTGGGCAACCCGTTCTAGTGTTTCACCACCCTCATGGTAAAAAATTCCTTCCTTATATCTAGTCTAAATCTACCCTCTCTTAGTTTAAAGCCATTACTCCTTGTCCTGTCGCAACAATCCCTGCTGAAAAGATTTTCCCCACCTTTCCTATAGGCCCCCTTCAGGTACCGAAAGGCTGCTATGAGGTCTCGGTCTGCAAGCACACATTGGTGACTCATGTCTAGCTTTTCATCCACCAGCACCCCCAAGCCCTTCTCGGCAGGGCTGCTTTCAATCCCCTCATCCCCCAGCCTGTATTGACAGCAGGAGTCTCCCTGACCCAGATGCAGGACCTTGCACTTGGCCTTGTTGAACCTCATGAGGTTCACACAGGCCCTCTTCTCAAGCTTGTCCAGGTCCCTCTGGATGGCATCCCGTCCTTCTGGTGTGTCAACTGCACCTCTCAGCTTGGTGTTGTCTGCAGACTTGCTGACGCTGCACTCGATGTTGCTGTCGAAGTCGATGAAAATGTTAAACAGCACCGGTCCCAGTACAGACTCCTGAGAGACACCACTTGTCACTTATCTCCATCTGGACATTGAGTCATTGACCACTACCCTCTGGCTGCAACCATTTAACCAGTTGCTTGTCCACCAAACAGTTCACCCATCAAGTCCATATCTCCCCAATTTAGAGAGAATGATGTTGTGGGGGACAATGTCAAAAGCTCTACAGAAGTCCAGATAGATGACATCAGTTGCTTTTCCCTTGTCCACTGATGCAATCATTCTAACATAGAAAGCCACTACATTGGTCAGCCAAGACTTGCCCTTGGTGAAGCCATGGTGGTTGTAAACATGCTCTCTGTTACAGAAGTGAATAAAATGTCTTTTTTTTTTTTTTGTCCAAGACTTAATATACAGGAAGGAAATCGCTTAAGTCAGGGTTATAAAATGTGCGGGTGGTTTGGACTAGATGACCCACAGAGGTCCCTTCCAACCCCTACTATTCTGTGATTCTGTGATTCTGTGAAATAAGTCATGGTTATGAGAGAGGAATGTAGAGGTGACCAAAAGTCTGGTCGTTCTTGGAGCTGCAGTTTCTATGTTCCTTTTTAATTTATGATTCCTCCAACTATCTCTCCTTGTGTGCTTGAAGTGTCTACACATATTCAGGTGGCTGGGCAAGCTCTCCAGCCCTGACTTGAAGATAGCAGGAAATGCAGAAGTAGCTTGGTCAACAGCAACAAATATTTACATTCATAGAGTTTATGTGAATTAACAGAAGTCAGAGGTCTACCTACAAGTAAGTATATAGTCTTGTCAGACGTCTCTACATTCTAGTGATCTAACATTCTGTATCAGATTACGTTAAAAGCATTATTTAATGTCTTCCGAAAGGATTTGTGTGGGGAAAAAAACGAGAATTAAAAGAAAAATGATCATTTTAATGAAATGCTTTTAGTTTATAGTAATTTATGGCAATTATGAATGAAAACAAGTTGCCAATGTTATTCCAAAGCTGTGGTATAGGTTTTGCAATGTTTTTAAATTCCCATAATTTAAATGTTTATAGTATTTTAAAGCAATTTTACTTTGACAGATGATAAAAGAGTAAGTATCATCTGCAAACTCACTGAAGGTGAGTTCAATCCCACTGCCTATGCCATTGATGAAGATGTTGAATAGTGCTGGTCCCAGAATGGACCGTTGAGGGACACCACTCGTGTGGTGGCTTCCAGTTCGACATCGAACCATTGACTGCAACTCTTTGAGTGCGACCGTCCAGCCAATTCCTTATCTACTAAGTGGTCTATCCATCAAATCCATGTCTCCAATTTGGAGACAAGGATGTTGTGCAGGACAGTGTCAAATGCTTTGCTCAAGTCCAGGTAGATGACATCGGTTGCTCTTCCCTTATCCACCAGTGCAGTAACCCCATCATAGAAAGCCACTAGATTAATCAGGCATGATTTGCCCTAAGTGAAGCTATGTTGGCTGTCACCACTCACCTCCTTATTTTCCATGTGCCTTAGCATAGCTTCCAGGAGGATCTGCTCTCCAATCTTGCCGGGCACGCAGGTGAAAATAAGATGAGATGTGAGTGGTTTTCTGTGTATTAATCGAACTTCTTTTAAAAATTGTCTGTGGTAACTTGGTAAAGGACCATATACTGAAAAATAGTTGCACATGGATTCAGAGGAGAAAATAACCATCAGTATGGGGGATTTCACCATGAGTTACAAGCAAGTAAAGAGGGGAAAAGCCATGCCTGTTCTTGTGTAGTTAGTTCTGTTTGAGCACATCAGCATAATTCACATGCATGTAGTTGAGCTAATAAATATTTTCCTTGTTTGTGAATGTTTAGATTGTGAGTCATTGACTGGTTTTGATATTCATGTTCTGTGTCAGAAATGACCCTATTCCAAGAAATCTTTGCAAGTATGTTGTTTAAAGAGTACAAAAATATGATTTTAGCTATGGAAGTACAGGTTTGGTAGTATGATGAATTACATACTTCAAATCATCTGGTATTTAAAGGAATACCAAAAGCCAGGTATAAAGGTTTGTAAGTGCCTTCAGAGGGACATTTCTCCCTTTTCAGGGAACCTTTTATTTTGAGAATTGTGTTACTTTGCAATCTCATTGCTCAGAAACCTGTAAACTTACTTCCAGTTCACTGCTGAAATGGAAGAATTTGTCTTTTGAGCTATATTTAAGCATTTATTTCACTCAGCGGGTGAATGTTCACTCAATCTATGAACTTCTGAACAAAGGCTCTTTCCATCCTCAAATTTTCCCTTACGTCTTTTTGAGAGGACTTTAGAATGGATTTCTTTAGAACTATCATGTCAGTCATTTATTAAATAAGTAGCAGTAAAAAAGAATTGATTTGCTACAACTATTGCAGTCTTGAAATAATCGTTTTCTGTTTTCATAACCTATTTACTTTTCATGTTTGAAAGCTTGACCTACCATAATTATCTGATTGTATTGTTTGTTGTTAACGTTGGATGGAAGATTCCATATTTTAAGTCAAGGCTACAAGAACTTAAATCATCTACTAAAAGAAGCATCCAAAAATGCATATTGGTGGTCATGGTTTTTAAAAGGTTGCCATTGTTCTAACTTGTATTTTGGCAAATGTAATTTCAGTTGTGGATAACTAGATTTTTATTAGTAAGTGCAATACTGACATCTGTCTGAACTAATTTTAATAAATCTTTTTATCTGTAACTTTTGTGGGGGTTCTTAAAGTGCCATAGATGAGAGAAAATTATATGCTTTTGTGGAATTTTGAAGTATTGAAAGAAGAAAAGAAGAGGTTGTTTATATCTAGTGATGTCATATAAGCTCAAAATAAACCCAGTTTTTTTAAAACAAGCAAACAAAACCAACAGCAAGATTCAACAATTCTGTTACTGTTATTGTTTTGAAGGACTATCCTTTCAGTTGTTTCAAGTAGTAATTTCTAAACTCTAGTTTAGGAATTAAAGAAAGAATGTGTTTCTTGCCTCTGGGTTCCCCCCTATCCCGGATTATGCATCAAAATAAAGTCCATTTGAAATTTAATAATCATGTCAGTATATTGCATAAGGTTTTTGAGAGTATAGCCTTTCTGAAGTGGCAGGGCAAGAGAATATGTCTTAAATATAGGAAAGTACAAAACTTACTTGGTGTTCTTTACACTAGTCTGTAGTTAAAATTATTAATTTTATGTTTAATGGGCAACACGGATGATAAGTATAAGCTTCTGTGTAAATACTACACTTGAATGTTGGAGTCTAAACTTTGTTTAGAAATAATGGAGTGGTAGCTCAACACATAAAAAAGAATGGGTTATTTATTGCCATTTTCTCTGTGTGTGTGTTTCAGGGGTCCATTCAGCGTTGTGCGGCGATGTATCAACAGGGAAACAGGACAACAGTTTGCTGTAAAGATTGTCGATGTAGCAAAATTCACTTCAAGTCCTGGATTAAGCACAGAAGGTAAGAATGAACAATTAAGCAAATTCTAAGCAGACAGGTTTTTTGATTTGCCAACCTTTTCTATTTTTAATTGCTTTGCAAGATCCTTTCTGTTTTACTTTTTGTAGAAGTTTTAAAGCAAGTCTTCTAACTCAAATTTAACTTGATTTAACTTAACATTTCTAATCTTTAGTAGTTCCTATGGCTGTCCATTTGTGATAATAAATATTAGAAGGAGTAGTAGGTCTACACTAACTCTAAGGCATTGCTATTTCTGTTCGGTTTTTTTTTTAAAGAATAAATTTCTTAAAGAAAAAAATTCTGAATCAAAAAAGCAGACAAAAGTAAAGTAAGAACACATCAGTTTTGATTTTACTAGTCTAGATTTAGCAAGTAATTTGCTATAAAATGGGTGAAAACTTGTGACTAAAGTGTGCAAAATGATATAAAAATGTGTATTTTTTTCATATAGTCAGTATTTTAAAACAGTGCTGCAGAATTGCTATGGTGTAAATAAAAGGCTATAACTCCTAACATTTCCTATTTTAGGGTAAAACAATATGTCTTTTCTAAGTTGAATACATCTCTTTTGCATGAAGTGCTTCTTTTATACTGAATGAAAAAGAGCATGGTAACTGAATGACGGTCACTGTGGATTCCATGTCCAGTATATTTTTGCTGGACATCATATTCTTTTGTACAGTAATGTTTTTTGGGAATTCCACTTGTGCCATCTAAGCCCTTAGGAACCCGAGTTCAGCAACAAAAAAGGGTTAATGACTTTTGTTGGTAATTACAACAAACAATGTCTTAAACCTTAATGGCTAGTTTGATTTACAAGGTAAATCACAGGTCTTGCTTCAGACTTTATCAGAGATATTAATTTAAGTATGACAACGCTGTTGCTAGTTTCTTTTTCCTATCCCTCCAACAAAATATGAGCTGCACTTTCCATAATATTCAGCTTGTGTGTAGCCGCATGATGGTTTTGGCAGGTTATACCAAAACAATTGCGTTTTGAACTAGTGAATTTTTAATAAAATGATTTGGAATTTTTAAAGAAACTCTGCCTGTATTCTAGTCTTTTTCTGAGTCTTATCTTGACTGCTGATGCTAGGACACATTTCTACCTTTAGTGGAGTATTGCTTTCCTTGCTCCATGACAGTAAAATTAAGCCTTTTGGGACCATGAAGGAATTGCTGAAAGGGAGAAATAGTAGACAAGAGTAGGGGCACATCAGGAACAAAAAGGAAGCCAACAGTAATAATAGATCCACTGAAAAAATGAAGAATAGCTGTTGATGATTTGCATTTGCTGCCTAGAACTAAAGAAAAGGCTTGGGCATAGGCTAAGAAATTGTGGTTTTTTCAGTTCCACTTGTGTCATATTGCTATAGTTATGATTCAAGCTAGCAGGTGGTTGAGTTAACAGATCGTAAACACTTTCTGGGTTTAGTGGTTTTTTTGGTTTGCTTTGTGGTTTTGGTTGTGGCTTGTTGTTGGGGTTTTTGGTTTGGTTTTTTTTTTTAAGGTTTAGAGTTGTTATGCATTAGATTTGTAATGTTAAGATACATAAGATGCGTAAGTGAATGTGGAGCAAGTTCTTTATGTAAGAACATGAGCCTGTTTTTCACAAACTTTTTCCATCTTGTGTACTCTTAATTTTGCTTTTCTTCTGCGGTTGGTTTTTTTTTTTTTTTTTGGTGGGACCTCTCCTCTATCCAGGTTCTAGGTTGATTTTTCAAATATTTTGTTTTTCTTAATTTTTTAAAATTTTGTTTCGCATAGTTCTGGTGTGGCATTCTTTAAACACATTGGTGGGGGTCCATGATGGTGGTACTTGCATAAAATAACTATTAGATAATTTAACTGGGAGGCAGTTGTATTTGTAAATTGTGTTAAAGTGTAAGCTGGAATGGAATGGTGAGATTAATCCTCAGGAACATTCTTTACCTCAAGGTTTTGCACTCTGCAAGACCACTTTGGTCTTGCATGTTATCTTTGTGCAACTTACCACCTCCAGTCTTTCTCTGAGGCACAGGAGTAAGAGGACAGGACATTATGCACGTGAGAGAGCTGATGATAATTCCTTCTATTAATTTCACATACACATAGAGTGCTGAAAGGTAAAGGGTCTAGTATGCCTCCACGCTTATGCTTAAATCTAAAAAGTCTGTTCTTGAGTGCTTTCACGTAAGTACCCATATGGGATGACATGTGTTTATGGGTAAGAACTTCATCTTTATAATTGTCAGCAGTGTACTCTTGTGGCAAATGCAGCCAACTGCGTAGTAGACTGTTGCAAAAGTGTAGCTAGCAAGTCAAAGCAAGTGATTATTCTCTCTGTTCATTCCTTGTGAGACCACATGTGGAGCATTGTGTGCAGTCTTGGTTTCCCCAATACAAGAAAGGCAAGGATGTACTGGCATGAGTCCAACAGAGATGGACAGAGAGAACTGGGTTTGTCTAGTCTTAAGAAGAGAAGCTAAGGTGAGATTTAGTGCTATCTTCAACTCCTTAGTAGAAGGGTGTATAGAGCCATTCGAGCCAAACTCTTCGTGTAGGCACACGGTGAAAAGACAAGAGGCCATGCAGACAAGTTGCAACATGGAAATTCCACTTACAGCCAAGAAAAAAAAATTCATCCTGTGAGAGGTAAAACTCTGCCACAGGTTGCACGGACACATTGTGGAGAGCATCCTCAGAGATGCTCAGAACTGGGCTGCAAAAGGTCCTGAGCTGTCTGATCTACTTAGACCCTATGCGAGCAAGAATTTGGGCTAGATGACCTCCAGAGGTTCGTTCCAACCTACATGATCCTGTGATCCTGTAGTATTAGTAGCAACAGTCTACATGTGATCTGTGAGACAATATAATTCTAATACTATTTAGGGAGAAAATTTAGGCATAACAAAGCCTTAAAACAGAGTTAAATTAAAACTGGGTTTGGGAAAATACTTGAATTTTAAAAGGAGTTACTTTAACTTGGTTTTGATACAATGTTTCAATTTATTTAACTTCTAAGGTGGCGGGGGTGGAGTATGTTTCAAAAGGTCTACTTGCTAGTCTAAACGATTCATTTTAAAACAACATGCTGATTTCTTATAATGGTATCTGCCTTACCACAGTAACAAAAGCAATCAAGCTTGAAAAACTGATGCTTCTCTAGGCTAATCTGTGAATATCAATTGGTACTATCGTGAGCATTTGTGGTATAGGATAAAGAAGCCATTAGCTTGCAAGGCAGACATTTATCTAATATAGCATTCTTTCTATAAGCTGGTCAATACGCAAAGTGTCTATAGACACAGACTTCTCAAGTGTTTTTTATGTCTGTGTGCATCTCTGCAGTGGTTTGATAATAATGATAAGAAAAAAAATAATGTTATGTAACAATGCCTGACAGCTAACAAATCTAATTTAGGCTAAATTCTATTTGATACAAGTATTAGTATTCATGGTCTTGCATACTGTGTGTCATCAATCTCTGTAGTGTTGTAATTCAACCATATTAATGAAGTATATTGACAGCTTGTCACTGTTCAAGTGACCGCATGCTCTACTGGATTAATGTTGGCTATTTTACATGATGACAGATTCTGCTACAGTTCACTATGCTTTCATATTGCAGAGATACAAAAAATTAAAAATATACATAAGAAAATGTAAAGCTTGAATATTTTTAGATATAAAAGAGACTAGTTTTTACAGTTCAATTTAGAGGATTCATGTGGAAGAGCACTTGATGCTCTCGGAAGCTGGCTTACTCATTGAGGTCTAATAAAAATATCTGTAAATAAACTTATTTTCAAATAGACCTCTTAGTTGCTATACTCAGAACTTTTGGTACAGAAAAGTGTAAAAATCATGTTCCTTATTTCTGAATTTGTTACAACTCACATCATAGTTACCTTTTACTGTCCACTTCTGCTGATGCTCTCTCCACATCCCATGCATTTTCTTTTATTTTTTTCTGTGTGATTTGCATATCTTGCATTTTACTTAGCTGTTCTAACACCAAATATCTGTAAGTGCAGACACTATTTCTCGGGAAGAGAAAGGTGATCGGTTCGTTACTACTTAGTAAAAGCGAATATTCGTTATTTGTCTGCCTTTTCTTAATGTCAGATTGCTCTCTTGTAACATGCAGAGTGTTTTTCAAAGCAATTTAAAGGGCAGTGTCCTGTACTTACAGTGCCTGTATCTTTGAAGTTGTTTTTCAAGATTTAATTCATCGTATATTAGATTCAGTTATCTGTAATTCATTTCAATAGAAATGTCCTCACAAAGACAGTGATTACCATTACTTCCATATCATTCTAATAGGCCAGACCTTATTTATTATGTTGATATATGCATCTGTACAGGTTTGTGTTCATGCAAGCCACTGTGAAGCTGAGTAGATGGGCTGATTTGGGTTTCCTTTAGAACCTCAGCTGTTTCTGCTGAAAGAGAGCTGTAAGGACAGTCCCTGCAAAATGTTTTGGCTGTGACAAAGAGCAAAACTGTAGCCAAGAAAGAAATGTTTGGATGTAGTTTTTGGGCTGCTTCTAGCACTGAGAGGGGCAAGATAATTGAATCAAAACTGTCATTGCTATGGATCATCCATTTTAGGAGAAGAATTCCAAAATTATTTCATTGGGGAAAAAAAATTTGGAAGTTGTTATTAGTTCCTACAAAGGGCCTGCAGATCTTTTCCCTGACATATTTTCAGGTTGTGAGTGATTTTGTTACAGTTGAGACCTTACTCTTTCTTGTTCTGTCTTATTTCCTTAAATAGTTTGCCCTTGTTGATTTTTTACTTTTTACGTTTTTTTATTTAGGCTTGTATTTTTTAAACATGTCAGTGCAGTTCATTCGAAAGGCTTTGTTTAATTCTGAGTAAAGATGCATGACAGAGTATCTTAACCTTTTGATACTGGAAGGCTGTGATGAATTGGAAGTTACTTTTTGCCAGAATATCTGTGTGGAAGATTTTGCACCTCCCTGTTTTTTCAAGGGTTTAAGCAAAAAAAATGCAG